GCTTATCTGTCCTTATCTAATTAAACTATAAAATTTCTTTGCAAAATTTTTAAGAAGTCTATTTAAAATTTTCATTTATTTATTTATTTATTTATTTATTTATTTATTTATTTAATATTTATGAGTGTTTTGCCTACACGTTTGCATGCACACCACGTGCATATAATGCTTGAGGAGGTCAGAAAAGGGTGTTGGATCTTTTGTAACTGGAGTTTCTGACAGTTGTTAGCAGTCATGTGGGTGCTGGGGACCAACCCAGGTCCTCTGCAAGAGCAGCCAGTGCACTTAACCACCGAGCCACCTCTCCAGCCCTGTGTTGGTTTTTTAAATGAGGGACTGATCATTCCTTTTAGTCTGTGAACACCTCCTTAACAGACACTGTAATCACTGAGCTTCTTAACAGATGCTGGTTTACAGTCCTCATACACTGCCTTGAAGTGCTTTGAACATTTCTGGCACTCAACAGACATGTTCTGATCACTTTTTTTCCAGCCCCCATTGCTTAGAGTATACACAAAATTGGCCTTCTAAAATCATCTGAGCTGTGCTTAATTTGTTCTCCTCAGAGCAGGAAATAATGTCTTAATAAGGTTAAGTTGGTATAAGTACTAAATTATTCCAATTAAACAGAAGGACATGAGAGATGTCTCTAATGCTGCCCATTTTTAGAAAGCTCATCTGGAGAAGGAAGTCTACACCTCAAGACAGACTCATTTGCACAGAAGCCATTTTATTCTACTTTCAAATGATTATAAAAATCAGCCTGTCAAATCAGAAAAATCCCCGGAACCATTTGTCTCATCCTCCACAACTCGAGGGCACCACTGTAACATCATTGTAGTTACATCACTGTAGCCCTTGCCAAGACCTGCTAGGCTTTGTCTTTCATAAAGCCTGAAAAGATGTTTAAAACCTAATTTTAAACAAAGGCAACGAATGGAAACCAAGGAAGACTTTTCTGAGGAAACATTCCATGATTCTAACAGTCTCCACAGGTTTTTAAAAAGATTCTTGGGACAAAATTTGATCTTTCAAGTATTTCCACAAACTCAAGAGTCTGCCTCCTAAAGGAGGGACACCTCTGTTTTCTTCCAGAGGATCTGGTTGACAGTGAGTAGGGCAGAATAGAATGTGCTGGTAAATGTGACTCTAGAAAGTTAGATATCTTTGGGAAACTAACTTATCTCTACATACAGACTTTTTCTTTCCTATGAGGGAAGGAGGCATTGAAGCCAGCAAATAATGTCATTGCTGGGAGTCCTATTGGCTGGCTGTTACAGAACCAAGGAGAACCTTGTCCAGCTGTGAAGACCAGCTCAGTCAGAAAATATCCCACCAAGCTGCACTCAGAATCCCACTCCTTCTCAGGAAGATCAACAATTTGGGAGGGGTGTTGTTTTGTTGTTTGTTTTTGTATTCAAGAGTAGCAGTCTCTTTTTAAAGAATTAATCCTTTATTTAAAAGAAAAAGAAAGAGAGAAAGAGAGAGCGAGAAAGGGAGAGAGGGAAGGAGGAAGGCAGGGAGGATTAGCCATGAATGCAAGAGTAATTTAAAAAGAAAAGACCTATCTTACTGCTTGAGAGTCCCCGGGTTCGCAGAAAACAAGTAGAAATGATTAACATTACTGTCTTCTTTGCAGGCGTCTCTAAAAATTGTCATTCGAAGTCTTCTGAGAAATGGAGATTAGGATCCCTCGTCTATCCCAAACACACCGTGTCTGCTCGCCAACAAGCAACACGCTGGGCTGCAAAGAAGGGAAGAAAGGAAAGAAATAGAGAAAGCCAGACAGCAAACAAGAAACAGAAAGAGAAAGGGAGGGAAAGAACGGAGCTAAGGAGGAAGCGGAATAAAGGAAAGGAAAAGGAAAGGACGAGAGGAAGGAAAAGACAGAAGGATGGAGGCCAGCGGAGAGCAGGCCGTGGCTCCTCAGCCGGCGGAGGGCCGGAGGTCCCAGGCCCAGGGGAGGATGCTCCAGCTGCGTAGCCCGCACCCGGCGCCGCGCCTTCCCGGCGGCTCAGCAGCTCAGAGTGAACACAGCGGGAGAAAGGAGCGGGCGATAGACAGAAGGAAGCGGAGCGGAGAGGGCCAGGCGGGAAGGGGGTTGAGCGCGAAGACGTTGAGGGGCCGCGGGGTGAAGAGTGCCCGAGCGAGCGCGGACGAGGAAGAGGCCAGACGACCCCCGCCAGCGGAGCTCAGAGGCGGCGCGGGGTACCGCGCGGTTCCGGGTGTCGGGCTCCATATGCAACAGCGCCATGTTCGCGTTGCCCTTCGCCGCGGTGGCTTTGCTTTTATTTATCCCGCGGCAGGGACCCACGCCAGAGAGCTTTTGCAACTTGGGCAGCTTCCGGGCAGCGCGCAGGCGAGGCAGCAGGATTGCAGGGCCTCGGGCCTGTCTATGCAAAGCTGCAGGACTGCAGGGCTGCAGGACTGCAGGGCCCAGCCGGGGACCCGCGGCCTGTCCCCTCCTTGCCCCTTGCGCCCCTGTGCTGCAGTCAGGTCTCGGGCGCATCACCCCTGGGAGCACGCGCCCTGGACATTCGTCCCGGAGGGTGTGCGTGTGTGCAGACGGGAGGGGCACTGGAAAGACCAAGGACACCCTGAGGTCTAGCTGGGGTACAGCGGGGCGTGACAGCCCGACGGCCAGCCTTCCGGAGAGGACTGGGCTGCCACGCGGATCCCGCTGGGCGCTCACTGTCACCTGAGCTCAGCAGCCAGACAAGGTCCGGTTCAGCCCAGCCGCCCCGGACGGCTGGGGATGGGGATGGGGTCTGCGGGGAGCGGGGGCGGGGTCTGCGGTGCGCTTCCCAAGGTCTAGCTGTCGGAGCTCCTCCGGGTTAGGCTGGGGGAACCTGGGGGATGACACCAAGGAAAAGTGCCATCCGCGCCCTCACACCAGTCAAGTCCCGGGTCCTTTCTAGACCCTTCACTCCAAGTCCCATCCTCGCCAACGCTGGGGAAGTGCCTGGATTTCCGTCGTCCCCTCTCGGTTCCAGGGACCGTGGGGACCCGGCGGGAGGCCACAAGCGAGGACTGGGTGTCTGGAGCCCGGCTCCATCGGGACACCAGCGCAGTGGACCAGGCGGCGGCCTCCGGGCTTCATCCCGCGCAAGGCAAAGGGCTCAGTCTGGACGCGACGGCTCCTTCAAGTCTGGCCATCACCACTGGGTGACAGATCTCCGCGCGGGTGGCCGGACCCCCTTCCTACGTCCGCTGGGTGGGGCACCAGCTCACCCGGTCCTCCTTTCCTGACCAGGTCTGTCCAGAGTCATGCCTGCCGCCCATCCCGGGTCATTTTCAGACCCGGGAATTCAGAAACGCCCCCAAAACTTGGTACTCCCCAAACTCCCCCAGCGCAGAAAAGCAGCGCCCTCGAACCCGGGGATCCCCAAGCCACCAAAGTGGTTTATGCACTGACGCCAGCTTCGGGTGCTGTAACCTGGTTACTATATTGCTACATTCTCAACAGACCTTTCACTTTTGAAATGGCATTTAAGTTACATTCAACAGTTCATCCTTCACATATCTACTTTTTCAGGCTATTTTTCAGAAGGAAAAGATCTCTTTCCCAAGCAGGAAAAACAGATTTCTTTTATTCTTCTGTTAGAATATTTGCATTAAAATGCAGGCTTCAAATTGCTTAAGAGAAGCCTCAGACTGGCCTCTTTAGTCACAGGGGGAAATCCCTTCCCTGTGTTTTTGTGAAATGCAAAAGCTAAAATTTCAAAATGAAATAGCTATGTGGTGGGTTCAGGGTGCTCCACAAAATTAAGAACTGACAATGTCAACAACTTGAAAGGCCTACTTTAGACCATCTAGCTATGCTCGCACAGATTCTTCTATTAAAGAATTAAAGCATCCGTTACTGATGTAGACATTTACCATTTGACAAGAGATGGCATTTTAAGTTGAGCATCACCCACAGGCTCATGTCTCTACTGTCTCCTGGATATTCTTACTAATCCTTCCAGCTTCCCTGTTTACAGGCAAGTTTGCTTGTTATTCACCAGGTGGATTTTAATTTAGCCAGAATTCTTTAAAAATACCATTTCCCAAAAGCCATTTAGGAAGGCCATTTTATGACAGACAAATACTAGAGTAAGGCTTAAAGTAAACTGCTTTCCCACCTCTCAAGGACTACGTGGAGGTCGTAGTCTTCTTGGCGGAATTCTGTCCACTCTTGAATCTAGTCATTTAATATAACTGATGACATTTCAAGGCCTACTTTGCCTTTAAAATCATTGAAAAACGTTTGTTAAACTTATTTATTAAACTCCTAAGAGAACATTGGGTTTCTTGCCAGGAGGCGGATGCTGATCAGTGTTCAATATAGAACAAAATTATCACATTAATGCATACCACTTCTAATGCCTAATGTGCTAGTATTGCTGAATAGTACATAATTCAAAAGGAAAACATCTCTATTTGATAGGTTTATTATGTAAAAAAGGCATATAATCCCTGTCCCAGAATAAAGCAAAATAGAATTTTAAGTAGAGCTCTTAAGTTTTATTCAAAATGCATTTAGACAGCTATGTACTAGAAATTACCACCAGAGCACTTTTTGAGCAAGATAATTCTTAGGGCAAAAACATGAATTCACAAATGTCCAATATATGACAGTCAACCTATAACAATGCAATCTTCACAAAAATATGTTGACTTTTATATTTAATGTTATTGGCCTATGTGTCATTCAAAGTCTTAATAATGCAATGCATTAAATATTTGGAAGGCATTTCTTTAGAATTGTTATATTACAAGGCATAAATACTTCAACTCATTGAAATATGTTTTCTAGGTGTATTTTCAATCATCCTTCCTTACCACATACTTCAAACTTCAACTACCTGCAGCTTTTACATTTTTAAGTACATTTTTAATTGCTAGATATGATCACTTATTAACACAGAGAATATATTCAGGTATTTCATTCTAACAGGACCTAAGCATAAATGCCTAAATAAGGTGTGAACAACCATAGGAATTAAGGAAGGAACTTCATTTCATTCCTATAGTGTCCCTGTAAGAACATTTGATTGAAAACCTAAATTTCCAATTTACTAAGATCTTTTTTTGTGCCCAGATATTGAAAACTAATACAGCTTTATTCACAGGCAGCCCCTCCCAGCCCACTGTATTATTAAATTGCCCAATTAAATACTATCAAACAGTTTAAATGAACTGAGATAGTCCCATTTCTCCTTGTAATGTTCCATACTAATTCTTAATTGTTTTATGAGAAATCAATATAGTTCAAAGATCTTAACAATTTTAAATCCAAAATTATGACAAATACTTGCATTTACTCATCAAATATATAGAATTTATTGAGGTCCAATGTTACATGAGCAATGAATGTCCTGAAAATACATATTTTTATACGGGAAACTCAAGGGTTGTATCTCTTTATGTTAACTGACAATTTAACAGTAGTGGTCTTTTAAGACTTTTAATACTATTTCTTGCTTTAAGAAAGCAAAATATGATTCCAGATATCCTAAGAAAAATGCGTGAAGCAGTTCCGGTGCTAGCTGAGGAGGTGGTGGAGATGGAGGCATTGAGGGAATCATGATTACATCTACATGTTTGTTTGAAAACATGTTTTGGTTTTCACCTAAAAATTTGACAATATGTTCATTGCTGCAGCAATTCTTTAGGTAGCTGTAAAGACCTAAAAGTAATGATAGTAATAGTAATAATAATGATAATAACAATAATAATGAGTAAATAAAGCAAAAGAATATTGGTCAGTCAAAATGTTACAATTTTCATGACATTAAGAAGCCATCGATTTTAAATGATGTGTGAACATTTCACAGAATATTACAGAAAATTTTCTTAGCCATGTTGCTGAATAAGAAAGTATTATCACAATAAATGTGATGTCTGTAAGTCAGAAAACAGTGGCTTTCACCTAACATTTTATATAATATTAAATTCTCTTCATTATAGCACAAATAGTCTGAACTGTCTTGTTTTTAAACACAGAATACCCAGCTGACTCTGTATATATGGAATAAGAAGAAATTGCTAGAAGCTTTATTTAGTAAGAAGAATCTAAGTGTAATGGTAACAGAATTTCACAAATCATTCTGTGCTCCACTGGAGGTTACCAAAACATAATTAACTTACTTGACACCAGCACAGTGTTTTGTTTCTTTATGGAACAGACTATGAGCCATTTTCAGTTGCTTTTGTGAATTGCTAGCCTCTAGAATGAATGAATGAAGTATTTTCATGTCACACTGCATTAAGGATAGCCTACAGAAGGTTTTCCCAGATGTATTCTAATTATATTTTTGCTTACTTTCATAATTGATTTTCCATGGGGGAATTAATGATTAGTTATTATTTTAGCTAAATAAACTGGTTAAAATACCTCCAAGAGTCATATATTATACCTATGAATGGATATAAAATGAATTTTTTGACATGGCATTTCAGAATTGTGATTATAGTTCTTAATATATAACATTTAGTATCAAATAGTATAATTTTATCATACTTTATACTACACTGGTTCTTACAAAGACACAGAAGGCAAGGAAATGTAACCAATATATAAATAATTAATTTTTTTTCTGGGTAGGTAAAACAAAGAATTTTAGGGATGTAGTGGGGATGCAGAATCCTCTGCTTCCTGACAATTAGAAGAGGAAATCAAAGGATGATTGCAAGGAATGCATTCTTCCCTCGTATTTCCCTCACCCAATTATTGATGCCTTTGACACTTTTATAATTTAAAGGTTTGAGCCTAGGTAAAATTCAAACTCACATTCTGTTATCAATTATTTATATCTTTGAGTGTCACAACAAATGTTGGTGGGAAGGGAGGAAGTGAAGGCACAGAGTTCTAAGCACAAGTGAGGAGAGGGGAACTGGGGGATGTGGGAGTGGACGAAGGAGGGATGGAGTTATAGAGCAACTGAGACAACCTTCCCTGCCTACGTTTTGCATGGTCAAATCAACTCACTAGATAATGCTTCATTATGTATTAACACATAATGATTTACAATCACCCCATTTGATGCAATGTCATATCTGGGCAATAAAGTTAATGCAAAGAGTAATGGGGAAAAATGAACTAATTAAAATTTTCAGGTGCAAACTTAAATGTAAAATAGATCATTAAACAGAAGGTGAAATAATAATAGTTTGGCTATGTATTTGGCAATCAGATAACTGTCTACAGAAATAAAATTGACCATATTAATGCTAAATTTCAGCTTTATGTGAATGATGTGAATAACTACCATAACTAAATATCATCTCCTAAATCATTTTAGAATAGATTTCAATGTTTTCCCATTGGTTATATTAGCAACAGATTTCTATATTGTGTGGCTATTCATCAACTCAAAATCAACTGTTAAGATAATCAGAAAAGGGACTGGAGAGACGGCTTAGTGGTTAAGAGCACTGGTTGTTTTTGCAGAGGACCTGGGTTTGAATCCTAGCACCTCCATGGTGGCTAACAACTGTCCATAACCCCAGTTCCAGAGGATCTGATGCCCTCTTCTGTCCTCCATGGGCACTGCAGGACACAGATGCACTTACACACAATGCAGGCATAACACTCATACACATAAAATTAAAATAAACTAAAAAAAATTTTAAAGATAGTTAAACAATCATGCAACAATTCAATTATTTCAAACACAAACCACTGGACTGATTTTTTTCCCCTGGTGAATTAGTTTCAACCCACTCAAGATTCTATCTTAAAAGCAATCATTAATTAGTAATTCGTAATTAAATTTAGCTTCACACAGTCCATTGAAAACTGAATTGTTGGTCCAAATGCTAAAGGCATAAATGTGTTACGTATGTGTGTCTCTTGTTCTTAAAAAGTGAGTAACAATCAACTAATCACTGAATTAGCCAAAACCAAAAAAACTTAAGATACAGTTTCTAGTTAATGTCTCAATCCATAATTGATTTGATATTCTTTGCAATTCAATAGCTTGGTTACTAAAGATGTGTTTTAACATGTTAATTCTTTAAGTTCAAACCACTGGAACCCATTTGTTGGCGGTACAGTGTTTCTTAATGTAAATTCTCAAGATGTGTAGACATTTTGCTGATTTTGGAAGCCAATTTGTGCTGATTTAAGAAAGGAGGGTTTAGCTTATACCCTGGGCCCTGACGAAGGGAGTCGCAGGGGTGGCTCATCCTCAGTATATTTCAGTATTCAGAGATTCTGAACTCTTCTCTGCTGACTGCTTTCTGAGTCCAACTTAAAGGCCTGTGAGCTTCTCCACCCCTATCTGACTTGACTCTGGTTTCTTCTTTTGTGATTGCAGACTTATTTTTTTTCCTCCCATATTTCTGACTTTGACTGGGCAAGTAAACAGATTTGCATATTGATGTTCGCCTGTATAGCAAATATACACAGTTCACTATCCTACAGACGCTAAATAGGACTGTTTCTTCTCGAAGCCTGACTGCCTGACCACTTGATCTTCAGTGAGGACGTGGACCTGTTGGCTGTGTCTCCCTCTCGGCTGTGCTGGACACCAGATTGTGCATGCCTGAGTAGCTGCACACTTTTGGCAGCACAGACCAGGACAGACCACCTTTGCAGTTTTTTCCACACTTCTCTGTTCCTGTGTTAACTAGATCACTGAGTAATATTTTTCCAGTTTGTTGATTGCCAAAGATCATCTTCTGTCAGGTTCTTCGAGAATCTTTAGTTGAAAAGAAGTAGAAAAACTCACATACTGTAATATCTCTGTACTGGGCCAGCCTCAGTGATGGCTGTATACTCACCTTAGGATCAGACCTCCAAGAGGTAAAGTGTGAATTATAGGAAGCCCTTGAGGGAGACCTCAGCATCCTTGATTTTGTTTTGGTCTCCGTGTTTCTAAACCATAGGGAACACTGTGATTCTGTCTTTAGCAGATCCTCTAATACAGGGCAGTTATCTGGCTCTGTGGGAACTTTTGTTGAATCTCAGCACATCTTTGAAGCATGTCAGCAATACAGAGGGAGGGACCCAATGCTAGATTTTGTTGTATAGAATGCATAATAAATGTTGGTACTTTAATTCACTGTCATTTTTTTTTTTTTTGCAACACGGATCTCAGTTTTCACCGATATTTACTTCTTGAAAGAATTCTGACATCAATATTATAATGGGGGGAGGGTCTAACTCCATGCCTGAGCCTTCTACTGCTGTAAAGGTATGGTTTGGTCCTCTTATTCCCAGATACATCCAGCTATACTTAACTCAGGTGGAGATGGTGAGGCTCTACCTATAGTTATTTTTGAAGTCTATCTTCTAAAATGTATGCGACGCCATTTATTTCTGACAACAGGTCTGCAAGAAGGACATTATCAAAGCTATTATCCAGAAATGTAAGCACCCGCTCCAAGTTAAGATGGCAATGCACAATAGCCAGATGCTTAAGAGAGCAAAATCACTGAGATGGAAGTTGATGTGGTGTGACCTTCCATTGCCCAGTCTCTCTCTCTTCCCCCACCTCCTTTCTCTCTCTAATTTGCTATGTAGTCCCAGCTGGATTGAGCTCAACAATCCTCCTGTGTCAGCCTCTTGAAGGCTGGACTTAGAGGCATGCACCACATGCTCAGGTAACACCCCCTTTTCTGTCCTTACTCAACTTCAAGGCTGCACCCATGAAACCATGGGACCACCATAGTGTGTTCTTTTCCTCTTGTTGGTCTTCTTTCCTTCTTTACCTCAACTTTCAATGATGCTCCTTAAGGCCGCCTCCCTGCTTTTTTCTTATGTTCTGGATGTCCCTAAACATTTTCACCACTTCAGTTATAATGGGTAGGCCAACAATGGAAACACTTAGATCTCCATCCCAGGTCTCCTTTCTAAGCAGCACTTCATTCAGACATCGACCTGATGCCAGCTGAGCATCTAAACATGTACATCTCCCAAGCTGAAAGCTTTTGCTCACAGCTTTGTAAACTTTGACTAGTTATTAAAGTCAGAAACTTGGAGATCTTTGCTACTATTTGAGTGCGTCCCCCAAGGTCATGCATCCTTTCTGCTTGGTTCATGGTGCTTTGGGGGAGATGTTAGAATCCTTAAGAGGCTTAGTGGAAAGTTTCTGGTCATTGGGGCATGCCATAAAGAAGAGTGTGAGATGCTGGTCTCTTCCTCTCTCTTTACTTCCTG